ATAAGGGTTAAAAAAAAAAAAAAAAAAAAAACCTGCGGAAGCTTCCCAGTGAACAACAGGCAGGCATAAATCTTAACATACAAATATTGATTACAGCAATCAGATTGTTTACAATAATTGCTTCAGTAGAATATTCTTGAGATTTTTAAAGTAAAGTAAAATTTTTCTTTCAGAGTTTAATAAAATGTTGAAAAAATTATAAGTACATACAATTACACTAATTTAGACTTCAGAAGAAATTATATTTCTCTAGTTGTAAGTTTCTCTCTCTCATATATATATATATATATATATATATATATATATATAAATAACTCTCCCATCGAATTTGACGTATGAGGGTCAAAAAGATCAGTTCCCAGGAAACCGACAGCAGCACATGAGATTCGATTATAGCGGTGAAGGTTTCGTGCAGGACCATCCACACTTTTTGAAGGGCCGAATACAGAGACCTGGTGCACTACATGCCACAAGGTCCCCAAACGACCCTCCGCAGGTTTTGAATTCAGAGTTATCCTTCTCCTAGACTAGTTGCCATCCAAGGCTATAGAACCCAGTCTGTCCTGCTATTTACCCATAGTTGGAGGCAGAAGAAGAGGATTCACACCTTTCCCAAGGGTATTAGCACATGAATGTAATGGATTCAACTGGAATTTGAACTCGGCTCTCAGATTCCTCAATCCAAGCCACTATCCATTACCCCACCATGCCTATATATATATATATATATATATATATATATATATATATATATATATATATCTTAGATAGGTTGGTTAATAAAACAAGGTCAAATGAAAGGGTACCAAAATAATCAGTACAACAAACATTTATTAAATATTAACGATATAACAAATGAAGCACGGAGAGAAAGGTTTTATGTTTGGAATTTTTGGACACGTCTGTGTCCTCTATCAGCAGACTGAGGAGCAAACAGAGAAATGGGAATTACTCACCGACAGATGTTTTTGTAGATGGGACATTTTCCATGGGAAATGGGAAAATCTCTGATTCCTCAATGTGTAAAACGTTTTATGAAAATAAATTTAAAATTTTGATCAGTGTAAAAGTGTTAGGTAGATCTATTGTTATCAGTGTGTGTCGTGGGGGTGAGTGAGATTGTAAAGATCGATGAAGAGAGTTATAAGTTCGGGAGGGGGAATCTTGCATTTACAAATTTGTAGCAAAAATTGGCAGACCACGTTGTTGAGGGTCGAAAGATGGGACCATGGTTAGAATATGAAGTGATGAAAAGGAAGAAAGAGAAAGAAAGAAAAAAGTGGGGGGGGGATATATAATAATAAAATATTATTAAATAAAATGAAAAGAAAAAGTGAACGAACAAAAATATTGATATAAATTTGGAAATTTATTGTTAAAAAGAAAGGGTTTAATTAAAGGAGAAACAGAGGAAAAAGCATATACATATATAGATGCACATGCATATATATATATGTGTACACATAACTGTGCAAATATACACAAGCCACTACACAAACATATAAATCTCCATACACCTATAGATATAAATACATGTACAAAATTAATATGTATTTTTACTAACTTTCCACTCTGCTTACATAATCTTATATGTAAAGGAGCCATAGTGATAGATTCAATGATAGTATAAAGAGGGTGACTGGAAAGTAGCACTCAGAGTACAGGGCAATTGTTGACTAGTGCATCATGAGGGAAAGCATAGGTGGTAGAACATAAAATATAGTAGATAGGTGAGGTGATGGCTGTTAAAATTTAGTGGGGGAAAGTGGTGTGTGGGACTTACTCATCCAAGGAGTGGTGTTGCTGATTATGGGTTTTCCTTGCAGAAATTGTACTCTCTGAATAAACCCAAATCCCTGTTTAGTCCCTCAATATGGGAATTTACATTTAGGATGTACTTCTACTCTGATCTGCATTTGTCCTCCCAGCTGCCAAACCAAGATGCTAAAAATATGCACCCAACATCATTGATGCTATGACTAGGTTGGTTGGAGTGTACAGAGACAAGGAAATTGTTGTTATCCCTGATGTTTTTTTTTTTTTTTTTTTGTGGTTATTGAGCCATCAAGGAATCAGACAGAGATCTGGTTTTTGCTAATAGTACAATTTCCACTGGAAAATAACCCATCTGCCAGTGAGTAATTCTGAGCATGAAACCTTTCTCGCCATGCTTCATTTCTGTCATATGGTTAATATTTAATAAATGTTTATCATACCGATTTTATTGGTACCCTTTCATTTGTCTTTGTTTTATTAACTATGTATTTTACATATTACAAGAAGCACACATGGACCACTTTTTGTTTTTTATATATATATATATATATATATATATATATATATATATATATAAAATGAATTTAATCTTTTGGAAAAAATGATAGTTGGCAAAAGAAGTGCTAAGTTAAAATACGGCTCAATACAATTTATATAGAATGAAAATACAGAGCAAATTAATATATAAAACATCAGAAATACTGACCTTCTTGCAACTATGGTTTCTGCCAAGATGGTGCCACAAAATACTAACTAAAATGGTTAATGTACTTTTGCACATGTCAAATTTTTAGTTTTGGTGAAGTAAATTCCTCTTTTTGGAATAAATAATTAAAATAGTTTGTTTTTTTATTTGGAAAGTCTACTTTATTAATTGGTGTTGGGAAATTTAATAGGCTTATTTTTTATTTTTTTTGCAACAACAATAACCATGTTAAGAAAATTTAAAATTTTGATCAGTGTAAAAGTGTTAGGTAGATCTATTGTTATCAGTTTGTTTGACAAACTTTCAAATGACACACATATATATATATATATATATATATATATATATATATATATATATATATAAAAATGGATTTTACTTGGTTGGCTAGTTAATTGCTGTTACAGGTCTTTTGTGTCTCTTCAACAACCAAAGCCAAATTATTATTTATACTGTAACTATGCTACATAGAACTTAATTACAGTTTCTGGGAGAAAGCACAATCTGACAAACACCAGTTTGCAACAAGGTCAGTATGTTCAAACACTCAGTCATGCTGACTTGTGATGAGATGCTAGCGTAACTATCAAAAGCTTCCAAACTGCTTTACCTATCAGATTTAACTCACAAGGCGTAGGTCAACTCATAGTATTGTTTTCAGGCACTTCTCCAAAATTATCATTTACCAAGGCTGATATTATCAAAAATTCACCTGCCATGGTTAGATGAGTCCAAGTCTTATGACTGAAACACTATCGTTTTAACTATTCTTTACACACACAAAATAAGTCTGCAATAATCAGAGTTCTTCATGAGATCTACATGTATATATTTTAAAAATCTTGCATATACATATATATATATATATATTTGTTCTATTCCATTATTAATTAATTTTTACCATGTTATATAATTAAAGGGTGGTGCTGTGAAAATCTTCATTAACTAATATTACTAATACATGTGCAAACTTCAATTATGATTAATCCCACAGATTACTAGAATCCCTACCTTAACCACTCTTTCTCCCAAGACCAAAATAAATAAATAGACATTATTTAACAAACAATAAAACACTTTGTAACATTAGCTTTGGTTCAAATGTCAGCTTTACCATCTGAAGTAACTGATTAATGATTGTCCACCCATCACAGGATCATTTACAGACCAATGTCCACCTTATATCCCGATGACTCAGGAACAAGTTCATTTACCGGTTTGATCATGTCTTTGGGAAGGTGACCAATGATTGATGTGTCAATAAAAAAACTGAAAACTTTAATTCTATTTGTGGGAGTGGTAGAAAAAGAAGAATTGGATATCAACAAGTCATTCTAACTTAAGAACATGTGCGTGTTGTGAAAGTGAATCACTAATTTTCCATCACCTGTGATTTTAAACCCTGTTTAAGTGAGGTTAACCTCCTATTGGTCTGGAAAAACAGTTAAGTTAAATAATTCATTACAAAAAAAAAAAAAAAATTCACCTATTGTTTCATTATCACTATTCACAAGTAGAAGTTTATTTAGACAGTTTAACCTTCTAATGGATTGATAACAACTGATGTCACCGTTAACACTTGTACCTTCTTAAAAGTCATACCTAAGGTAAAATTTAGGTGAAATAAACAAAAAGCCCTCCCAGTGTATTTTTACTATCACAACAATTTCTAGTATCTTGTTAAATTCATGCTGAATAAAGGAGATGTAAATTCATGGAATATTCATATCTAATCCCCCCAAAAAATGATATGGAATACACTTATCCCATCTAAGAGATTTGTCAAGTAACTATGAATACTAATGGTACCGTATAACCCAGTACTACCTGCCACCTTAACCAATTCCTTCACTAGGCTTTTCTAATAAGGAGGGTGGATAAACACCAGCTGGATTAAAAACAAGAGCAAAAGGGACAATGGCCATGAAGCCCACTAAGACAGACTGGGCACTATAGCTATATATACAGCCAGTGCAGTGATGACTCAGCATCATTGGGTGGAGAGTCAATGGTCAGGGTGGAGGATTCCCTCAACGGCCACAACCAAGGTGAGCCTTCAAGTAGGATATCGGCTGTGGTTTGACTTGGAGGAGATGGGCTCTATGAGGTCTACTTGTCCAAGTTATGCTGTGCACAAATGAATATCTCCAGCTTTTTACCCAGATATGTGGAAGGAAATGGTCAAATGCTCAACAACCCTACAACCAATCATTGGATGAATGATGGTGGTATATCAAGAGAAAAAGTAATGAAAGCTACATGACTAGATTTGGATTTTTGTAACTGTCCCTGGTCTTCATACGCCAATCAGTAAGTATCAGACCAATAGGCTTCTCAATTAGAAGTTTGAATTTTGCTATGTTTATTTCTGATCAGTACTGGTTACAATTATAGAAGGATAGGTTGAGAGTTATGATAAAAATAAAGCAACAGAAATAAAATAAAAGAAATACTAGTCAAACGTTATAAGAATTATTATTCAACAGTAACACTTTACAGAAACAATGAAACATCTTACCTTAATACTCCATTATTATTCTTATCCAAATTAGTAAACCTACTGTATAAGCGGGAGATCTGGTTTGCTGAAACTAAAATAAACCTTATATAAGAAAACATATATAAGAAAATTATTACTTTAAATGTTTTCTTGAAAAATAGTAAATAAAGAAAAACAAAAAAAGGAGATTATAAAAATTAATAAAGCACAGCAATGTTTGAAATATCAGTGTAATTAGACAATTTTTTTAAAAAGATGGCATTAATATGATCAATAATTTAAAACTAGTCCCATCACAAATACCTTTTCACTGAAAATGGAAATCAGTGTTAAAAAACAAAAAGCACTTAAATCATTTATTATAATCAGATATTTTTACCAAATAGTTATCAAAAATTAGTACAAAAAAATGGTCAGATTTCTATATAAATTTTTTATTCATTTTTTTTTTTTATAACAGTTATTTATTACAATGAATATCAGTTAATATATTTTTTGCTGCATGCCAGCAGCCAATTCTTGTAACTTAAAATATCAAAAGGGATCCCAATAAGCAGCTTCCACTTTATAATCATAATATCATACATTATAAACATTTCACAATTCTTTTTATTTCACCCAAGCAAGACAATAAAGCCACTACGATGCAAGGGATTACTAAGTAACAGAATATATAGGAAAAAAAAAAACATTAAAGAGAGAGAACAATAAAAGAACAAAAATTAAGAAAACAAGATATCAATTGAAATTTTTGAAGATCAATGTATTAACGCTATTTCTTACCCCACTTAACAGACTGTAGGTAATTTTTTTTAGATCAGCTTCCCAGACATACTACTAAAATAGCAGTAAATAGTTGAGAACTGATGACATCAAGAAGGTCATTGATGAAAATTAAGAACAATTTAGGTGAATGGAGAAAACTTTAGAGAATACCTGCATTAATGCAAAAGATCTAGAAGAGTGGCTTTAAAAAAAAAACAAAACAAAAAAAAAAAAAAAAACACCATTTCATGATTTGATAAGACTGAATAAGTTCAAAGATTTGTCCAGAAATATCATAACCTTTCACCTTGTGAAGAAGACCAGCATGCCAAACCCTGTCAAATGTCTCTGTGATATCTAAAGCAAAAGTCCGAGCTTTATTCTTATTTAAAGCTTGATAGACTTTCAGCAATAATTGTTAATACATCAGCAGCTGACTTACAGAAGCAAAAGCTCTATTGCTTATCTGAATAAAAGACCTTGCAAGGTGAAATGCTTAACCAATTTAGAGTTGATTAGAGCCTCTAACACTTTGTCAAAAAGGAGATAGAAAGAATGTTAATAGGCTGATAGAAGGATTGCAGAGTTCTTAAAGACTAGAACTACAGAAGAGGATTTCCAACAAGCAGGAAAGCAAGAAGCAGTAAGGCATTTATTGTAGAATTTAGAGAGAGCAGGAGCCAGTTCAGGAGAACATTTCTTAAGGACTATTGCAAAGATATCAAGTCCACATGCTTTGTGAGAATCCTGTTTAAAGATTATATCAGAAACCACGGACAGAGTTATATGCATATTAGACTCAGTTCTAAGTGGAAAGTCAGGCAAAGATGTTCCAGATGAATCAAGGGTAGAATTTGAAGATAATTTACAGGCAAAACATTCTATTTTATCAGCAGATGTTAATACTTCAAATTAAATGAAGAGAAGAAGGATAGAATACTTACTCTTATTTAACACACTATTATAGAGCCGCCAGTAGTCATAAGAACTAAACGTTTTGCTCTATATGGTGCCTCATTCTATCAGTAAACAAAGAAAATTGTGATGGGAATTAACATGTTGGTACAGTTAGAAAGAGTGATTCCTGTGGGTTATAGCAGCTGAACAGGCAGGTGTGAACCAAGAATATTGTGGTTTCACCTAGTATTTCAGAAAAGGTACAAAAGCATTGATGCTGGCTTTAACCAAAGAAGAAACCTCTGTGGCACAATTCTCAACAATCCAAGGGGCGTCTCAAAGAAAGTCACAAAATCAGTCCCAATCATTATGCTGATAACAGAAAGAAGTCTTGAGAAGAAGAGGTGCCTGTCTAATAGACAACTCAAAAGAAATATCAATAGATACTACAGCATGATTATTTTATAATTTGTTGTGGGCACTTATTAATTTCTAAATATTTTTCATGTTTTATATGACATTAGAATGCGATGGCTAATATTCCCAAAAATGTCACTACATAGGGGAAAAAATTAAAAGACAAAATACAAATAAAAATTAATTTTTGATATCCTATAGTTTAAAAGAAAAATTATAAGCATAATTGACTAAAAAAAAAAAAATATAATTTGTAAAGAAAATAGACAGTGGTATAAATGCAGAGTTATTTTTAATTGCCAGACTTTCACTTCTTACAGCCACTGTAGAACTTTCCTGTCCAGAAGTGACATTAGCAAGCCTGCAAACAGATATGGAATGCCTTCTTATATCTTCATTTGCAAAGCGAAGCCATTGTGATCATAAATCAAAGATGACTTAAGCAACGAAGCACATTCTCAGGTGATAGCAAGTTAGCCCCACAAGCTGTTGCCAGTGTAATGTATTCATTCCTTGCTGGATGATCCACTACTGTGGCCATATTACAGTCAAAACTAAATTTAGTAAATCAAAAAAAAAAAAAAAAAAAACAATCCAACATACAAGAAAGAACAGTATTTTACTGGAAATCCAAAGGAATGATTTGGAGACACACCAACAATTAAGTGGGTCACAAATAATTTCTTATATTAACAGATGTAAGCTGAACCATTCTTTTATCACAGCTGTTTGAGGTTTCTTATAGCCCCACTGAACTTAAATAAAGTCAATTCAGGTTTGCTATGGTAAAAACTTTCTATTTCAAGTAAAAATCATCACAAAAATGGCAAAGGTCATTTTGTCACAGCTTATTTTCTCTGAAAAAAATGTATTTTCATACTTTTATATAGTGGTAAAATATTGAAAAATGATTGTTTTATCATCATCTAAACAAATATCAAGGAAACTTTTGACCTGGACATCATTAAACTAGGTATTTTCTGAAAGCAAAGGATATATTCTTTCATTTAAAAGTAAAATAGGCTGGTGTAAATGACTCAAATTTTTTTTTCAGAGGGTAAAATGTGAAAAAATAGTGAAAAGTTTACATTTTTTGTAGTTCTAAAAAAAATAAAAAAAAATAAAAAGATTTTCCCCATTAATGGGAAATTAACCAATTTTTTTTTTTTTTTTTTTTTTTTAAATCAGGAAGCCTAAATCAAACAATTTCAGGCATAAAATTGAGAGTTTTGAAGGAAATCAACATTCCTAGATATTCAAAATGTGACAAATTATATGACTGCCAGAGGTTAAAAAAACTGACACACGGCCACGGAAATTTTTAGTAAAAGGTGAAAGATTTATCTGCAATTCTTGACCACCAGAAATGAAAAGTAAAATTAAGCCAAATTGACTTTGACATGTCTGGGTCAAAGGTCAGCCAGCAATAAACGTTTAGAACAAGATGTTGTCAGCTTGTAATAAAACCCACCAATCCCAGTTAAGAGCAAAGAGTGAAAAGAAAAAAAAAAAAAAGGGTTGACATAAGGTTTGTTTTTTGTTTTTTTCAAACCTGTGTTTGAATAATGGCTTGATGTGTTTTGTTTCGTTTTTAACACACTGTGACCCGGGTGATGACAACAACACTTAGCAGACGACATTGTTTTTTCGCTGCATGTCTTCTGTATTTTCCCTCGCTGGGCCATTTAGCCCTTCCTTTTATTCAATGATGTTCACACCAAATAAAGGAGAAAGGGATGAAGTTTGAATGATATTATTTTGAAGTGAAAATAAATATTTTTTCATTAAAAAAAAAAAAAAAAAAAAAAAAGGCGATTTTGCTCAGAAAATTGGGCATAATTTCTTAATGATAACCGCCAAGTGACATTTTCCACAGCCAAATCAAATATTAATTACCAGTGAATAATTCTATGTGCAAACAATAGTCGTCTGGATCCTATAATGTCACCCGAAAAGGTCCAGAAGTTTATTGATTGATAGAAAACTTGTTGCGCATAATTGTTTTTCACGGTCAGTTTCCATTATTTCATCTTTATGTTATTTTCAGACAGCCAAGTCATCAAGGATTCAGGAAAACAGTTTTGCACAGGTTTGCTTTAAGAACTTTACATTCTATGAGGTGTTTAAAATGTTATTGACGAATTGTGAATATTTCATTTACGTGCCATGTTGGAATTTCCTACATGACAAAAATAAGCCTTTTAAACAGCCATGTTATGACAAGATTATAAAAAAAGAAGTGGTTCTAAATGTAAACATATATGACTAAAGAATTATTTCAAGATAATACACATCACCATACGGCAATTTAACTCCTATCTTTTAAAGAAATCTGTAATAGGATAACCCATAGGAGATCTGTGGTCAACAGTTGAAATATATAAATCATTGATTTTTATTTAACTACAATGCATTAAGGCCAAACAAAATATCAAAGCAAGTTTATTTCAAATAATTCCAAACATTTCAGTTAAATGTTTAAACAATAAAGACTCAGAAGCATTCAGTGTTGAGTAATAAAAAACATCCATTCATTTTATGTATAGTGAACATGTCAGGTTTCACATTTCTAGTATCTATCATCAGTTTGAATAATATTGACCTCCATTGATACTGCTTTGTATTGATTTAAACTTAACAAGTAGGTTAAATTTTGAGAGAGGAAAGAGGAGAGAGAAAGAGGAGAGGAGGGGAGAGAGAAAGAGGAGAGGAGGGGAGAGAGAAAGAGGAGAGGAGGGGAGAGAGAAAGAGGAGAGGAGGGGAGAGAGAAAGAGGAGAGGAGGGGAGAGAGAAAGAGGAGAGGAGGGGAGAGAGAAAGAGGAGAGGAGGGAGAGAAAGAGGAGAGGAGGGGAGAGAGAGAGAAAGAGAGAGGGGAGAGAGAAAGAGGAGAGGAGGAGAGAGAGAAAGAGAGAGGAGGGGAGAGAGAAAGAGGAGAGGAGGGGAGAGAAAGGGAGAGGAGGAGAGAAAGAAAGAGGGAGGGGAGGGGAGAAAGAAGAGGAGAGGAGGGAGAGAGAGAGAGGAGAGGAGGGGAGGAGAGAGG